TTAATCGGTAGACTCATAACGATTTAAAACAATGTTTTTGTTTGAGTTTAGGTTTGACCAATTCGTAAAACAAAAAAAAAAACTAATTAAGACATGCGTGTCCGTCAACCTTCAACAATAATCTTTGTCAATTTTATTTTTCAGTCTTTATGATGGTCGATACTTTATCTATCTCTTACTGTTACATCCCCGGGCAATGCTGGGCTCTACTGCTACTATATATATATATATATATATATATATATATATATATATATATATATATATATATATATGGTTGTTGTCGGCAAGAGAAAAATCCCAAGATACGAAATAGGAATTGGAGATGCCAGAATCAAACGAGTAGTTTAAATATCTGGGAATTATTTTAAAAGGATGGGAAAAAAATGCGAAATTTAAATCCGAAAGTGCAAAGGAAACAGCAAAAGAACCTTGTAAAAGTTAAGCCAAGAATTAAGAGAAAAACACATTTTGTTAAAAACAAAGAAAGAAAAGAGTACTGATCTGTTATGTAATATCAATCTCTCTATATGAAAGCAAATGGCGAAACATCTCCTCGCAGAAGGAGAGATAACTGAAGGCCACAGAATCATAGTTCTACAGAAGGATACTGAGAATAAGAGGGACGGAGAATTCTTAAGGAAAATCCAAAAAGGAAACCTATACTCACAATCGGAAAGAGACAACCTAATTATGAAATGGAGCTTGGAGATTGGATCACTCACAAGACACATCGAGAGTCACACTGATAGACACTTATATTACGAGATATGTACTGCAGGGAGAAACAAAAGGGTTCAAATAAGAGGGCTATAAAATAGTCACTGTCTATTTTTCATTACGTCAAGAGCTTAACGTAAAGCTTCCGACGACCTGCCGTCCATATATCATTACAGTATTAAGATGTATCCCCCCACCCTACCACGAAGAAATTTCTGTCGAGTAAATTCGACAGCTGTCTATATATAACTGTTTACACTATCTATATTTTTTCGGGCTGCTATCCTCATCTTTATTGTTATATCCATTATGTTTTGGCCGTTGTATTCTCCGGCCTTCTTCAGGTGATGTACATTTAATTTTAGATTCGAACCCTTTATTTACTCTAATTGTTCTCATTTCACGTACCTCATCGCAATTATATTCTTATAGTTACTCAACTCTCCAAGGTTTTTTGTTCTGCTGTGACCAGATATTGAATTTACAACTCCACTAGACCTTGTGTCCTTGAGGACATGAATTTTGGGGCCTTTTAAACCAAGCGTCTCAGTAATATTTTTTTTTTTACCAGAGCTCATATTACAGTTTTTTTTTTTTATTGTTGTTCTTTTTTCTCTAGCATTCTGTAAATTCTAATTTTCGTGCTTGCATGATTTCAAAATCTCCAATTCCTATTTCACATCTTTGGCGGCTGTCCCTTTTGCTGACATCCATAAATTCTTACTTTTTACAATTGATATTCCCTCCATTCTTCCGGCTTTCCTTTACTGCTGTTGTAACCTAAGAAGTGTTACTGAATGAGGAGTAACCAAAACAAAAGTTGGAAATTTAATGGTAATCATTATAGCATCAACAAAATACAATACTCGCCAGCGGCGTGAAGTAGGTAAACCACTGCTAGTGGTGCATTACTTAGCATATTACCCCCAATTACAATAGTGTCCAATGTATTTATGAGGATTGGGACATAACCATTAGTATTCATAGGTACGATAGATAACAATTACCTTGTATAGAGGTACCTGCAGTTTCCTTTAAATACGAAATTTTAAATATCAATTTTTATTTTAAATTAATACAAGAAATATTTTAGATACTGTTATACGAACTCTGCAGTTGCAACAGTATGCAGAGGTTGCAATGCAGATTGAAATAAATGTACTCGTCTGTAGCCGTATTTCTTCTTTCGTTTCTTTGTATGTCAAGTAATCAGTTTAGACCAACTGTTGAAAAATGAACAAGAACTTTGCGCAGTAGAGAAAAATGCAATTTCTTTTGAGCGCCAAACAAAGATTGAATTGCTTGCTCTCATAAAAACCATCCGTGTTACTTACAATGAAAATTATTCATGCATATTTATGTTACGTCTCAAACAAAACTTGATTGAATGCATTCTTTCTGAAATTCCGATGAAAACTTAATGCACAGACGGCTTTGTCTGATATGTGCAATTTTTTTTTATTCTATTTTATGTTTCCCAACCAAAGCTGCAAATGTATTGATTTCTGAATATGGAATTTTCATCATTGAGAGTTTTCTCACTTCTTTCTCGAAGAGTATATAAATTATGAACTCAAAGCTTTTCTTATTTTTTTTCTTAAACAACCAACTAACCCGGCATCAAATTCGCTTTGTTTTCCGTCTCTAAACATGGTTACTTCAGTAACGTTTCTTTAAATGCAGTCTTACTTGTCCAGATTCCGTTCAGTTTCTGAAAAATTGTTTTCAAATAAATAACAATTTATTTACTTCAAGCGGATGGATTTTCTAGGACCTTCTATACTGTTGATACACCATCATAAACGGCTTCGTTGGTAATATCTTTGCCCAGAAAAATCTCTGTCTAGAAAAATCTTTACTCAGAAAAAACTTTGTCTAGAAATATATTTGTCTAGAAAAATCTTTGCCCAGAAAAATCAAGATTTTTCTGGGCAAAGATTTTTCTAGGCAAATATTTTTCTAGACAAAGTTTTTTCTGAGCAAAGATTTTTGTCTAGAAAAATCTTTCTCCAGAAGAATCTTTGCTCAGAAAAAATCTTTGTCTAAAAATATATTTGTCGAGAAAAATTTTGCCCAGAATAATCTTTGTCTAGAAAAATCTTTGCCCAGAAAAATCTTTGTCTAGAAAAATCTTTGTCCAGAAAAATCTTTGTCTAGAAATATATTTTCCCAGAAACGTAAGATAAAAAATATTGCCCTAGAAATTCGAGTTATATTCTTGAATAACCTCGTCAGATCTAGACTTTCAAAAAATCTACCACGAACGGTGTGCAATACCTTAAAAGTATTTATATATAACCCTTTTTCATATTTCACTGGTCAAAATCTAATAAATATTAAAAACGCCTCCATCAGGCCCTATGCTTGCGCTACAGAATCATTTAACAAAAAGCGTTGCTAAATAACAATAACATCGCTTGAAGGCTTCCAACAGCAGCAACAAGAAAATGGGTAGCAAATGAAACAAGATGTTGAAATAATGATGTAATCCAGAGTTCAAATTTCCACACAACTTTGAGCAAAAAGATTGAACGGAAATTTCCATCAATACTCAAAATATCGTTAACACTGAACTTGACTATATCTACTTTCCTGAAAAACTAATTCATGGAAAAAATTTCAGGGATTTCAGCGAACAATAAAACTAACTGGTTGGTTATTAAAATGTTGAATGTTTCCTGTATAGAAACGGTTGCTTTTCCCAAATAGCACGCGAAATGAACAAAAATTCAGAGTTAAACAGAGCAAATTTAACATCCTACAAGGAAAATCTTTTAGATATTAGAAAGAGGTGATCACTGAGAACTTAGGTAGCCTAATCGACATGAAAACTTAAAAAGATGATTTTATAAATTCAAATCGACTGTAACGCCAACTATTCGATTAATGAAAGCCGAATCTTGCCTGAATGGAAACGGTTAATTCCATAATGAATATTACCAATTCCCGATAATTTTGCGAAATATGTAATGATTAGCCGTGTTTAGACAGATGACATTTATCTTCAACGATCGACTTTTCGTGCCCAGGTTACAAGCCGTCGTTTTCTAGGCCGACATGTTTTCTCCATTCGTCTGATTAAGCTAACAGTCTTCTTGATCCTAATAACGTCTAGCTATCATCTCGCTACCATCGGGCCTTTTCCCATTAGAAATATAGGCTTAAAATTCTCTGCCTGTGTTTCTTGGATGAGGTGGCATCATTATTTAAATTTGGTCTAATGTCTTTGCTTTATAGCGATAAAATGTCGCTGCCGACGCTTGAGTTTGCGCATAGATCACCAGTGTGCAAAAACAGGCGATCCCATTATTGAATTAAATAGACCACGTGACCATAAAGGAAACGCGTATACGTAGGAAGTAGCTGACGTCTAATTGAACGCTATTTCTTTTCTATCTTCTATTACTATTCGGATCGTCATTCCTAGGCTATCGTCTATTATTATACAGGTCGCTATTCTCTATACAATTCCTCTATACTGATCGCTATACGGATTACTATTCGAGCCAGTGTTATTGGGCAAGAACGATTAGTGCGAGTGATATTCGAAGGCGTCTGACACCAGTATTGTTCAACGGCGTTACTATAGATGTATCTGCGATTACAAAGTCTCTACTACAACGAGCATTACGAAAGTAACAACGACATGAGTCTTCATTCTTAATAAATGTGAAGTCTTCAGCACCATCGTGAAAAAGAAAGAAAAGCGTAATATAAGGAGGACAAGCGTGATAGCAGCGGAGTCAGCAGCAGGCAGGGAACGAAAAAAGATCATCTAGGTTGAAGGCTCCAAGTTCTAGATTTAAGATTGTCCCATGGTGAATTTAAGTGTTTGTTCGTGAATTCGGTAACAGTAATTGTAAATTCACTACCTTGGCCATGTAGTAAAGACTCAATTAAAACAGGGCGAGCAATAACTGAGCAGTATTTAAATGAACACAACGAGATATCCCAAAAACATGGACAATGTAGCGAGAAGAATCCCACACAGTAGATGAAATAAAAGATTCAATTCGAAATTCCATGGATTGACAAGCATTTGAAACAAGAACCACTTGTCGTGACACAGACATCATACTCCTAACAACTGCTATCTCAGACCATGTCTTGATGATCTGAGTCTGTATTAGTTTCTCCCTTCGACTAATTAAAGGGAGCAATTAGAAATTCCTTGAAAGCAAACCGGATCTACAGCTAAATGAAAAACACGACGAACGAAACCTTTTGATAACAATATTAAAGGTGAGGACAAATTCTGAATATAAATAAATCTTGGGATTTACGGCCGCATCAATTTGAAACGCCGGTTCCCGTAAGACCACCGAAGTTAAGCAACGTCTAACCTGGTCACTACCAAGATCGGTGACTGCATCGGAATATCAGGAGCTGTGAGGACAAATTCTGAATAAGAATAAATTGTTAACTGGAATGCCGATTTCCAATTCATGTTGTGTTCGTTATATTCACTTACATGCAACTACCGTTGGGAAAGATAAGAATCCACATCTCCCCCCTTAGCTGAGGGTTAATTATTAAGACTTGTATAATAGAAACATTTAAAAATGCGTACAGAATATTTAAATTTCAGTATTAAATAACCCATAGACAAGGTTTCTGTTGTGTACCCTCTGGCCATCTTCAGTTTGGCTTGGTTTATTTTGATTTACCGCATATCAACCTCAATAGGTTATTTAATGTCGACAAAATTTTATATTGCTGGTAGTATTTTGTTTTGTCAAAAATCTGTTTCTCGGAATATTTTTCCTTCAAAATTGTATTGGTGGTAATAGTTTTTTTTTTTTTTTAATATTGCTGGTAATAGTTAACTATTTGCCCATAGCTGGGACCCTAACGGGTGCTACCTCCCAGGTCAGCTTGGGCCTGGGAGCACCAGCAATTAAGAGGTTATTTCCATGCTCCTCAAAACCTCCTGATCAGAGTCCTTGCTCCTGGATATGTTTATCGTCTTACCAGGACGCGGATGTAGTTTAACGACTTACCCAGGACGAGGCCATCTTAAGGTGTCCATTTTTGGTTGATGATTATTGTTGACTATTGTTTGATCTTTGTCCATCTGATACTAATTAAAATTTATAGTAATCGAAGACGAGAACAATAGTTCGATCAAACCAAAATATATTGAACGCAATCATCCTGAAAAACAGAGAATGGTTTTCAAGTCATCATTTAAAAGAAATGTTTAAAAACAATTTTGGATATTGATTTTTCTGTCCAGACATGATTGCTACCGTTGGAAGAGAGGCGTAACACAATTTCCAGCCTCCGATAATCTTTCTTTATTATTGGTCATTATGTTACGATTAATGAACATCACATGCAGTATATTTGTTCTTTTGTAAAGTTCAAAGCCTTATGGCGATTGTTAACCAGCTCATGAAATTGAATATATGTTTTCATTTATCTATCTTCTTCACAAATTAAAATTGAACATAAAATGTGTGATTAAAATAACGCCAACATGTATGAAATTGTTACGAGAGGAGAAAAGAAAATGGTGCTATGCACTGAAAATTCTTCCACGCAAAAACATTAAAACAAAATAATGTCGAAGTCTACGTATTATAAATTTGCTTTTCTTTGTTCCTTGTGTACAGTACACGAAAAGCAATGTCTGTTTAGTTTTTACAAATGAAATAGTGCAGTAGCCTCTATCTCCCATGCACACATTTTTTAATAATTTCACCTCATTTCCTTAAAACTCACACGTATACTTTTGTAGAAGCACATCTCTTTTGCTGTAATTCTCCTCTTCATCTCTGTGAACATTTTTCAGCATCATCTGCCATATGGAAGAACCGATATTACATTTGCAGTCGAAGAATCTCTTCTTTGTTTCTAACGTAATTTTTGAAATGGTATCTTTCAATCAGTCAAGTGCCATACACGATACACGCTTGGGCGATCATGACTCGTTCGATTTATGTCGGACTAGGCAGAAGATTGATTTGGCATTTCTTTTTGCGATAGACTGGTTGCAAAACCAAAGCTATAGCACCCAGTCTATCCTGCTATTTAACCCATAGCTAGGAGAAAAATATATGGATTCATACCTTTCCTAAGGTTTTTTGCGCGTAAATCACAGTAACGAACCCGAATAGAAATCAAACAAGGCTTCTTGCTGAATTTAAGCGCAGTACTAGAATGCCAGTTAGGTCTTATCATTCTACAGTTGAAATGCTTAGATATAACCCAAAATTCAATGCTAATCGTTTCTTTAAATTAGATTTAAATCCAATGTCATTCGTTATATTTTCTCTTTTTAATTCCTCTCCTCTAATTGTTATCTCCGTCATAATGTTTAATTTCTTTTTCTTGTATTCTTTCACACTCCGCAATTCCTTGCAATTTAGTGACTTTATTGCCTTGCTTGGGGTGAAATGATTATGCGTCCAAGAAATTTCAACTATTTACAACAAAACACCTATCCGGTATCTCTATACACAGCAAAATATTTCAGCAAAATAAAGCAGATTTTGCTGGTTTGTGAAATCTTAAGTGCGCTAAAGAGAATTTAGGGCGATCGTATTTCATTTATTTATTTTCAACACTAACAATTTTATTTGATTTTTTTGTACACTTTATTGGCCTTTTAAGAGTTATCTAAATTCGAAAAATAGTTCCGCTAGTAAGAAAAAGCATTTTTGTTCGTGAATATTACATTTACAGTTCTTTTTCTTTTCTTTTTTTTCGAGATAATCATTTTTTGCTAGATACAATTCACACTATTTACATTATTCGGACTCTTGTCCTCATCTTTATCGCCATATTTATTACAACGTTTTTTCTTTTCTTTTTTTCGAGATAATCATTTTTTGCTAGATACAATTCACACTATTTACATTATTCGGACTATTGTCCTCATCTTTGTCGCCATATTTATTACAACGTTTCGGCCGTTGTACGCTCCGGCCTTCTTCACGTGGTTGAAATGTTGAACTGAACCCTTTATTTCCCTCACTGGGGTAGACTGTTCTAGTTCCACGTGCCATGTTTTAAATGGATGTCAGTTATCAGTTATCTACTGTTAATTTCCCTCTGCAAGTTCTCCACTGACTTAACCGGGTATTGAACTCACACTCTTTGGGTCCTGTCACTGGATCTAAACAACGTCTTTATCCACTATGCCATGTGTCGTCGAGGACAGTGGCACAGTGGATAAAGGCGACATTCCAACCACCTGAAGAAGGCCGGAGCGTACAACGGCCGAAACATAGTAATAAATATGGCGAGAAATATGAGGACAGTAGTCCGAATAATGTAAATAGTGTACATAATACCTCATCTCAGAAATATAGACAGATACAATTCACACTGTTTAAGATATATGCTGTGGGAGCGATGGTTTAGTACTTTCCCCAAGAGTTTTGTATGTAAGTGAATGTAACAAACACGACCTGAATTCGAACTCGGCGCCCCAGTTTCTCATTTCTAGCAGCTATTCTTTACTCCACTCGCACATCCGCGGCACAAACAAATAAAACAGTTTCGCTAGTCGGAGTAAAACTGATGTCACATCTTCGATTATTGCAGATATTGGACTACAATTTACCAGGTTCGGCACTTAAACGTTATCTTCTGTCTTAAAAATGAAAAGAAATCTGTCTCTGTATAGAACGAAAGATGCGCTCAAGCATATATCATAGAAATGTTTTGCTAATAAATTTAGAATAGAAATATACTAGATAAAAAGAAAGAAAAAGTAATGGCTAACGCAGAATTACTGTAAGCATTGCAGACAAAATAAGAGATACCTGTAAAGTATTATAAAGTAATGTATAATCATCTGAAACTTAAATATTGTGAAAGATGTTAACATGAAAAAACATTTTTTGTAGCAGCCATAAGAGTATTTATATTAAGCGCATGCGTATTTGACGTCACAATAAAGATGATTGCCTCTATAAAACACTGGTCAAACAAGGAGGCGCCAGGTGTAATAAGATTCTACATAAATTCTCCGTGAATTTTTTTTTTTTTTTTGCTGTGTATGGCGTATAATAATGAGTAGAAAGCAGATATTTGTCTGGCGTAGGTGTTCACGGAGAAGTTTACGAATCCGCAAATCGAGATTAGTGTAGGCTGTCTACCTTGATCAGCAACAAAAGACAACATGACGCACTTTAAATCACGGATTCGTGGTGATAACGTAAATTTCTTGATCTGGCTGTGGAACTTGATCTTCGAATGTCGGTGGCCCAACAAATCGTCGACTAAATCTTGGAATATCGGACGTGTTGACTGAAAAAGACAAGTTCTAATAGAAGTACATTTCTTTTCAGAATTTAGGCACATACGGTGTTGCATTTTATTAATTATTTCACTCTTAGGAAAGCCAAGAAAAACACATTAGGTTTCAATTGGTGAATGAGAGTGAAAAAAAAATCAGAGAAGGCAATAAAAGAAAAGAATTTAAATACAGAGATGTCGATTGACCCTGCATTTAAACTTAGGAAGATAGCAGTTGAACGAAAATCAGGAAACCGGGGAAAAAGTTCACAAGCGAGAAGTGCAAAAGAAACTTACGGTTACAAATAACAATTTCAACCGTGAAATTATGGGGCCTATCTGCCAACCAAGTACTGCGCTTGAATCCGTGAAGTCAAGGTAATAACGAGGAAAGCGATATTTATTTGGGGAATACAAAATTTTGGCATATGGTCAAAGGGAGGATGAGGAAAGGCTGTTCTTCAGTCTGTCTTATCTTAAAACTTAGCTAGACACAACTATTAACCTAAACATACCATGGTATGCCTTACATCAAAAAATTCTTACCATTATTACTACATTCACCATAATATCTCAAAGTCTCTATGTATTCCTTACTATTTCTCATCTGTACAATTTGTCTGGGGGAGGGTTAAAAATTACATTTAAAAATGAAAACCTAATGAATATTTAGCAAGAAGCAAAGCTCATCATAATAAATATTTATAGAAAAATATAGAAAAGGCTCAGAGAAGCTACGTTAGGGCGGTGGAAAATTGAGGGAAGCCGATATGCCAGGTCAGGACCGATAAAATTGCCGATTTTTCTTTGTAAGCGGATGATCATAGGTGATGAGAATTCATCGCCATCATCATCCTTTGACCTCCCTATGGTTAGTCGGAACTCCATTGACAATACCTTTCCACATTGTTCGGTCCTGTATTGCTGTCCCCGAATCCACATTGTTTAACTCTCAGTCCCCAGCTTTAGTGTATGGAAAAGTCAATTTTGGAACACATGATAGTTCTTTCGGTAGCTGATCCAAAATGTGGGACGCCAACCCTACATCCGCGTGTTTTTTGTCGAGACACTAACTCTAGAAAGACTGCCACTCAAAGCTAAAGAGTTCTTACAAGCCATGAAGTGAAACATCCCGCGCCAGACA